TGCGCGTTCGTATAACAATAAAAAAAAAAGGGACAAATTGAGGAACGAAACGAATTTGAGGAACGATTCCCTCCCTCTCCTCCTCTCAAACAGGATCCTCTCCCTCCTTTTCTAGATCACTTTCCCACTCCTCCTTGTCAGGGCAATCTCGTGTCGATCGACTGGTGTCAGCCAGCCGATCAGCTCTTTCTTTAATCAGATTATTATCTAATTAGTAATAAGGTTTACAAATTTTAAAAAACAAAGAAAAAAGAGGGCTACAAGACAAAAATTATTATATAAAAACAAAATACAAGATAATGTAGAATGTACAAAAAACAATAAAAGAAACGAAAATGTTTTAAGTTAAAAATTTTAATAAAGAATGCTAGCAATAGACGAGTTGGTTTATCTCGTTTTCTAGCGCTATAATTTAGTTATATTATAATTTATATCCAGTTATATTATTTCAATCTTGCACTATATTTTCATTTATATATTTTTCTATAGGATCATACTCATATTTGCATTCTCTATTTATTTGTAATAAGAAAATATTCATCCATTTACTTAAAATTGACATTTAAGCATTTTAATGACTGATTGCAAGTAGCTATCATTCGCGTACGTTCTTTTCCGTTATATATTAACTGTGAACATTACGATAATTGTTTTTACGTTAGCGTTTGCCTTAGAGAACGAAATATATATTGTATTATGTTTTTGTTTTTCTCCAACTGTTATTGATTATGTATGTTTTTAATATTGAAAATGATTCGATCGCGATCAAAATTTTATTGCTTGCATTCTTTATTAAAATTTTTAAAACATTTTCGTTTCCTTTATTGTTTTTTTGTACATTCTATAATACATTATCTTGTTTTGTTTTTATATAATAATTTTTGGCCAATAATCTTCTTTTTTCTTTGTTTTTTTTAGATTTTATTTATCCCCCTCGAACGAAGGAGACCGAATAGTTACGGTCTACATTCCTAGGAATTCCATCTCTTACACTGTCTTCTACAAACATTTTATCCCAATGTGCTCCTGCACTACCTTCCTCGCCTCCAATACCTAATAACTACTTCCTCTTCTTCCACGCACGCACGCACGCACGCACGCACGCACGCACGCACGCACGCATACACACGTCAATTTACCTTTATGTGTTTGAATATATATATAAAATCTCTCCGAATAATATTGTAAAATGCGATAGACACACATACACTCACAGCTCCCCAACTATATTAAGATAATTCAACCATAATTAATTTTAACATAACAAAATAGTTGTAATCAAATTCGATAGTGATATTTTTTTTATTGTATATAAATATGGTATATATAAGTTCTATATAAAAATAATAATAATATTTCCTTAAATAAATATAAATTTTATATTACAAATGAAGATTGCCAGCTTCCATTTATTTTAAAACATCATTCGTATTCCTTTCTCTAATGCCTGAGATCGTACGAGCTCCAGTCCTGAGTCAAAAGGATTAAGTTTTTTGATCAAAAAGTAGGACCAACGTTCGCATTGTCCATCGGAATAGATGTCATAGCGTTTCTTCGGGACATTGACTCATATTCTGGAACCGAAAAGGTGCACACAATTCACAGGTTCGCCTCTGCGCGACTCTATCTATGAGATAGAGTCTAGCCATCCTTTCATACTCTCTCCATTCTCCCTCATTGTCAACTACCTGATTAAAAACTTCCTGTTTAAAAAGGGTTTAGACGTAACAATATCATATTCGCCAGTTTCCAATCAC